GGGTGTTTTGCCGCCTTTTTTTTTTTTTTTTTTTTTTTTTTTTTTTGCCTTGTCTTTCTTTTTGTTCCCTCTTCAATCACTGGAAAAATTGCAGAATTCCTGAAGTCTTTATTTTGATAGTTCCCCCCAGGTAGCTGGAGTTCCTAGATTCAGATTTGGACCCCCTGAAGATATGCCACAAACTAGCTCAAGTCACTCTGATCTTGGTCAGCTTGCATCACAAGGAGGTAAACCACTTCTGTACTTTCTTTTCTGTGGTTGCTAGAGTGGAAAACAAATAACGCAGTCAGTAAAACGCAATTCTACTTGAGGTACTTGTTGAAGTGTGGAAGCCTGCGACACTTAATTGTCAGCAGAGAGAGACTAACAAAGTAAAAAGGTGTTTCCTTCAAGCTGTTTCACTTCCATTTGCAATATGGTTTAAAAAGTACAATGCTTCTGTAGGTAGGAGCAACAGGCTTGTGAACCAGAGAAGATGAAATTTTATGTAGGACAAATTGCCTGCTGGGCACAAGAAATTTCATTTAAGGAAAAATGAAATATTGAAGGAATGGCTTTTAACTTTAATTTTACTCTTGATTGTAGTTTTCCAGAAGTAACGTAATAGGGGAAAACAGCAAATGCAAAGAAATCCTTGGGATATATCCTTACCTGCTAAGAGCTGGCCAGGCAGTTTGTCTGTATTGTTTTTGCTGTTGTGCTGGATCAGTCCCTTTCCCGTGCATCCCTGTCAGCATGGAACAGTATGCTGTTCTTTGAAGAAAGCTCACAGCACAACAATGGCATAAGAAAAGGATGAAAGTAGAACAAATAGAAATATTTTTATCAAGGTTTTACCTTTCAATAAATTATAATTAGCTTTGGCAGTAAGTCAGGTCAGCTTAAAATAACAAAAATCTCCATGTTTAAGTACAAATCACTGGATTTCATCAAGTGTACAGAGAAGACAGTTAATCTGGTTTTTAGCTGGCTATTCTAATTGTCAATAAAACTTTGTGTTGCAGGTTTAGGAATGTATGAAACCCCACTATTCCTTGCTCATGAGGAAGAATCAGGTGGTCGTAGCGTTCCCACAACACCATTACAAGTAGCAGCACCAGGTAAGTGGCAAGAAATTTTCAGGCTGAAGTAAAGGTTGGAAACCTTGATGTTCCAGAAGAGAGTTAGATTTTTGCCGTTATAGTGCTTATTGCTTCGTCAGGAGTATTCAGGAGACCTTTCCCTGACATGCCTAAGATTTCCATAGATTTTCTGTAGGAGATTCAAACTAACTTGATGTTTATGAAACTACCTTTCCTGTACAGTAACAGTTTTTACTGAAAGTGCATCAGCGGACGCTTCAGAGCATGCTTCTCAGTCTGTTCCAATGGTTACAACATCTACTGGCAATCTGTCCACCACTACAGAGGCTGGAGCGGGTGATGATGGGGATGAAGTTTTTGCAGAGGCAGAATCTGAAGGGTAAACTATGACTTGTTTGGTTCACTAAGACTTGATGTCATATTAGTTTTAATGATTTGTTTTCATCTAAGTGTGCCTGTGACTCATTTTCAATTTAACCTGTTCTAGTAGAAAGGACATCTCAAACAGGATTTAATAATTTTGTGAAGTAGTACAATCTGACCTTTTCATCTAAACCCAAAGGTTTTCTTCTTCTGATTTAACATAGCTAATATAAAAGTCACAAAATAAAAAAAAGATTTCTGTATTTTTTCAGAATGCAGAGGGCTCTGTAGTAGTCAAATACTGATGGTAAAGACCTCAGTTTGAAGGACTGGGCTTTGTAGAATAAAGGCTAAAGCATTCCTGTTTGTTAATAGAGAAAATCACTCCTCATTACAAAGCAAGCATGTATAATGACGTCATTCAGTTAAGGCAGTGCAAGTACAAAAAATGTAGCACAAGGGAGGGGAATAAGCAGTTCTTAAGAATTTGATAGACAAGTTATTTTGTCTTCCACTTTGCAGGTGCAATTTTTAGTATTTATAATAATTGCTACATTTTGTATTATGATCCAAATACATTACAAATCTAAAAGGGGATAGGTTATCATTTAATGCTATATTTTACTCTTTATTTTTATTGGTTGCATAATAAAAGATGTGTAGTTCACAATTTACCTAAACTTTTATCTACTGATTGCAGGAGGTAGGAGGTTTGGCCATAAGAAAATGAAATGTTAATGCTGCAAGTTAAATATGCCACACAATTTTCTTGATGCAGCACCAACTTGGACTGCAATAGTCTGCCTATGAGTAGATAGAACATAGGATGGGTATTCTAATGTTAAGGTCTCATATTTGTTTCTTACAAAACCATCTAATCTTTAGTGAATGATAAGTATATCCATAGAGGAAGTAAGTGGTTCACAGAACAATCTGTAGTTCGGAACAGGCTTTTAGCTTGATAGGAAAGCAAGTCAGTGTGTTGATAGTAGAGAACAGGTATTTTGACAGTTTTTAAGTTTCAGTTATCATCTTCTAACAGTTTTTATATACTAGTTAAGCTAAATAAAATGTATACTAAAAAGTGAGCTGCATTTAAACTAAATTGAATGTTTAATTTTTTTCCAGCCCTATAATGCTTTTTGGTTTTTGTCTTTTGAAGACCGAGCCCAAATAACTTAGGTATTGCACCAATGAGCGATCTTTAGGCATAACCGGTCAGTGCAGTCCCTCTGCTTCATTCTTCCCCTGTCTAAACATAAACACCACCAACCATCATGTTAAGTTTTTTAGTTATTGTTCCTAAATAGCTTTTATGACCTTCTCTGAAAGACAATTAGTATGTTGAATATTCATCTGGAGTTGGGCTGCATATCAAGGAAATTACATTGTTATTTTTCTAAAAGCCATATAAATCTTTAATGATTGGGGAAGGGGGGACATGACAAAACAATAAAACAGGTGAGAATTTCTGGGGAAAGGCATTTGCATAGGAATCTTTCTGCTCCAAGATGATCTTTTTTTTCCTGACCTTTTTGAAACTATCTGAAGACACTGAAACGTTTTTCCTCCCCCTCCTCCTCTTCTAGAATTACTTCAGAAGCAGGCCTAGAAATTGATAGCCAGCAAGAAGAAGAATCTGTTCAAGCATCTGATGAGTCAGATCTTCCTTCGACTAGTCAAGATCCTCCTTCTAGTTCATCTGCAGGTGAGGTTAATTGCTGGAAAGTTATTTCATACCATTTCATTACGTGTGGGAACTTTTTGGACCAGCGTCACACACTGCTGATAGCCAAGATACACAAAATAAGATAGAACTCTTAGAGCAAGATCACATTTTGATGCCTATAGTCTTAATGGCAAACAATTTTTACTTGAACCGCAGTAACTAGAGTAGGCTGTAGTAAGAATAATGCTTCAAGGAGCAGAAGTTATTGATACTTCGGTGATTCTGTCCACTGTTATGTTTGATGTCAGATTTAAAAATACACTTTCATTCAATTAAATCATCAAAGAAGAGTAAGTAAATTACTCTTGAGTTACCAGTTTATCACCTAGCATAGGTAATGAAAGAAGTCCCAAACTTACTTGTTTTGAGGCTTTTATTTATATCCGAGAAGATGTCAATGAAGTAAGGATGCACCTCCATAATTTTAAATTCAAGAGCATAATGCCTATCAAATCATGTAAACATTAACAGTGAGAAACTGTACTATATACAGACATTCTTTACTGCATTTCCACTTCTTCACAGACACAAGCAGTAATCAGCCTAAGCCGTTTCGACGTGTCAGACTTCAGCCACCAACATTAAGAACTGGTGTTCGTGGTCGTCAGTTCAACAGACAGAGGGGTAAGTGTTCATGGTTGCTCAAATTCAGACTTTTTCAAACAAGTTTCTAGCACTTTCTTCCTGTGGGGACTATATATGAAGTACTACTTTATACGCCTGTGTTTGCTTGTAAGACACTGACTAATACAGCATCCCTGCCCTAGCTTTCAATATGTTACCCTAAAAGCTCTGTAGTTTTGGTTTAGTATGTTAGTCTGAGCGTTTTTTAAATAGGCAGACTTTCTTCTTATGTGGCACTTGGTTCTTATCAGTGGAGAGAAAGTGAATGGCAGTAGATCTTAAACTTCGCAGGGTTTTAAAAGATTTTTTAAAATGTTAGGATATAAGTTTAGAAATCTTTAACATTACATATCAGTTTCCCATTTGGTACATTAAGAGTTCCAGTTATATCACTAAGTCTTACACTGATTTAAAAAAAAAACAACAGAAAAAGTTTATGGAAGTATTACAGACTTTTGTCATGCAATATAGAGTTGAACCATGACAATAAATTATTGTTTGCAACTTCTGTATTAAGAAAAATCCTTACATGAATTGTATTCAGTTTGGCATTATATTAACATTGTAGAAGACTTGATACTAGCATTGAAATAGAGGTATCTGGTATTTTAAAGAAATAGAAAAAAAAAGCGAGGAGGTGGACCTGGGATAGATTTTTCTTTCTGCCTGATCACAATTTCTTTAATAACAAAAGGGATGGACCAACTGATTTCAAATATGGTGTAAGAATTCTATACTTGTTCTTTCAGCACAGGGCCTGAGACAGGATCACAAGTCAACAGCACCCTTTTAAATGACAGAAGTGTAATGGAGGGGAGGGAGGGGGAGCCCTGAATTTTACCAGAAAGGAAGTGCTCCACTGCAGTAGCAATTCCTTACAGAAGAATGAAGCATCACATGTACCAATGGTTGATTAAAAGGGTAAAAGGGATTTACATTAATGCATTTGTTTTCTTTCCCAATGCAGGTGTAACTCATGCAATGGGAGGCAGAGGAGGCCTGAACAGAGGAAATATTAGTTAAATGATCTGTAAAGTAATTACAGCTGCGTATACAAAAGTGCCAGTTTGCCTGTGGTTGCTTTAGTGTAATGAAGCCAGAGCTTAAAGCAGCATTTTATACTTAGATTTGTGTGCACACATTTCAATGTCTTTATTAATAAAATTAGACAAAATGTCAACATTCAAATGGCATCTTTTTTTAAAATCCTCTACTATCCATCACTTGCTAGGACAGTTGTACCAGTCTTTAGATACAGTCTTTCCTGTGAGAGCAGTAACAGGTCTTGCTATTCTTCTGCCAACATCCAAACTGTAGTACCGATCTGAAAAGAAGGTATGTCAGAATTAAATTCCAGGAACTACATTTAGTACATGGAAAGAACCCTGAAGTTAAAACCTTCCTTCAGTTTCATTTAGGCAAGAGTAACAGATTTTTCATTCCACATACATATATGGAGTTGAGAGGTGCTAAAAATCAATTTCTGTCCTCAATTTTTTTACACGTCCTTCTTTGTGTTTAGCTAAGTTTTACAGTACTGCTAGTAATTAAATCTGTCCCAAGAACAGGGAGTAGGTAAGAATAACCTTATACTACTAGAACACAAGAAGTAGACTTAAGAATTTGGAAATCAAATGAACTAGAAACAAAACAATCCTGCACTGTCTACAGTGGGAACTCTGTGGTCCATGAGTGTGAATTGGCCTGTGTTAAGGTTAGGAATTAGGTCATACTGGTAGAGACTTACTTTAATATCCCGTATGTGGATAGAGCTAGTTCTTAGAGCTTTTTTTTCTGAATCATCCAGAAAATTCTGAGGAATGCTTTTACATGATCCTGGCTAGAGTGAAAGGATCTACCTAATCTGGAATCTTAAATAAATAATTTTTTCCTGTAGAACAAAATGGTTCATGTCCCTCCCGTTTTTGTTTTGTCAGAAACATAGTTCCATGGAAGCCAGTGAAAAAACTATCAATATATAGTGGTCAAAGGATTTCAATCTATCATTAATACAATTCTGCATTTAAGTGTCAGGTTTTTTGTCACTTTATAAGCCTGAACTCTTACGGCAATGCTTTCTGCAACTGGCTAGTTTGAATCATTGTACCTGGTTACTGCTAGTTGTCCTGTAACTATTGATTTATAATTTTTTTTAATTGAAACATCTCTCGATGACAGGCAACAATTTAATTCTCAGGAGTTTTTAGTAGTTCTTAAAATCAGTCTTGCAGAACCACAAGTGGTAACCTTCATGCTTTGGAAAGCTGAGAGATACATGGGCTTCTTTCTTCCCCATCCCCTAGTCTTTTGAGATACATAGTAACTTGTATTAGCTTTAACTTACTGTAAGAGAAGGCATAATAATCATAGCCATCTGGCTTATTGTAGTTGGGTAGTGATATAGTTGAATGAATAACTTTTGGGAGCCCTCTCCAGTAGGCAGTCATTTTGATTTCCTTATGCAAAACTCCTGCAAGCAAAAGAAAACTTCACTTAGGAGGTGTCACAGTGTGTCTGCTGTAAGCTATCATTTGCTTGTATAATCTACAGCAAGCGAGATCTGTTGGATTAAAAAAACTTCAAAAGTACTATATTTTAAAAAAATGGAACAGAATGTTGTGTTTCAGAAATTACTAAGAGTAAAACGGTTGTATAAAAGAAGCTTAATAAACATAAGTTACCAGATGGATACGGGTTGATTCTGACAGTCTGAATAACGGTTGGCATTCTTACTGCACGTTGAAAGCGTCTCCTTATTACAAGCCTTGGGACATAAGCTGGGTATCTTATGGTAACCTGGCTTCTTCTTTGACACTTCTTGGCTGGTTCTTGTTTGTAGACATACTGTTGCATATTGCCATCTAAAATAGACATTTGTTTCATTTGGTTAAAAAAACCCAACCACAAACCACCAGCTAGATCAGATATGAAAATGTCATTGATATCCATCTTACATGCAGGAGAACAATAGCATCATTTTAATACATCTACAACTGTGGCAGCCTTCAGCTTTTTGTATCTGTTCCTACATTTTGAGATAAAGTCTTGCTCTCTAAACCCAACATGTGTTTCTAGATGTAATGATACCTTCTGTAGGCTCATTACAGTTACTGTTCTAAGTACAATTCCAGGGGAACTGTTTTTGTTGGCATCATTCCCATTTATCAAGGAGATGGTAAGACCATCATTTTAGGCTGCATGAGAGGAGGCCTAGAGTCCAGAAAAGGATTTGTGCTTTGTTAACCTCTGCTTTTTAAATTCAGATAGCAATTCTTATGTTGGCAGTACATCATTCATATAAGGAAATTACATTAATTTAAAATATGCAATAGGGAGGGAGATTGCCATACACAGTTATGAACTAGTAAGATTAAAGCCTTCCCTTCTCTAATTAACTTGAGACCAAAGTAGTTTTACCACCAGATAAAACTTATTTTAATGTTTGTCTGCTACAGTGCTGGATTCTGTCCCTTACAGTCCTGTTGATTTTAAAATGCACTTAAAAGATCTGTAAGTATGAACACAAATTTTTGACCACCTAGCACACTCTGACATCACTTATGTTTGTTTTTGAAAGAAATACATCTTTCACTCAAGAGAAACAGTGTTTTATTCCTAAGGCAATTCAAGAACATTTTGATCATCTGTGAACTCCTGAAATATGAGATGTACCTTTTTTGATAAAATAAACAGATTCTGGTCTGTTGTTGTATCTTGCCACGGGGAGGGTTGCTACTATTTTCCCACGTAGGCCTGCAAATCCGTTTGCAAGAGGTTTGGGATAGCCTTTATCCATAACACCGTTAGTGAAACGCCAGTATTGGGGACCCTAATGATTTAAGGAAAAAAGGACATTTAGAGGAAATTCATTCTTGGTAATTGAGCTTCAACACAGACATGAAAAATAATCATAACACTAGCATTTTGATAACTACATTGTGAAACTGACTGGAACCACTCCTACATCCATTAAAAACAGGAAAAAAAAATATTACAACTTCATAAAACACCTTCTGCAGTCTTTTAACACTGCCTTTGAGTAGGGATAGAATATCTTAGAAATGAACTGTTAAGAGTGGTTACTGAACAAAGCGGTTTGCTTTCTAAATCTGTAAGTTCTCACAGATAGAAAAAGCTGCTTGAATTCCAGGACTGAATGATTAATTGGGAAATAACCATATAATGTCTATCATGAGGTGTGTGCATTTAATAATCTTCTTTCAGGAAGGGAAATGTATTAGGAACAAACTTAGGCCATGTTTGGGCGAGGGAGAGACACCATGAAATACCCGTATTTTAAAGAGTTGGATTTTTCTTTGAAGTGCGGCTCATATGTAGTATCAGCTACTCTGCCAAAGCTTTGTCTCCTAGCCAATTACAGGGGAAAAACCCACTGAACTGAGGTTTTCCCTGATAAGCACCGTCTCAAGGCAGATGAGAGGGGGGAGCTGGGGAAGAGACACTGAACTTCACCCGCAGAGTTTCAAGCCCACTGCGCTGTTGGAAAAGGCCCTTTTCTCTAAAAAATGCGCAACACGGCCCCAGAGCACCGCAAGGCTCCTCTTCGGCGGGGCTGCCTTTCAAAACCTGCGCCCTCCCTCCAGCTGAGCTGCCCCCCGCACCTTCTCGGCTGCCTCCCGCCGCGCTCGCTCCCCACCTTGATGAAGAAGGTCTTGCCATCGCAGTTGCACCTGGAGAAGACGGCGTCGATGGGGGACGGGATGCCCCAGCCGTCGCTGATTCGGCGGGGGCTGGTGGTCGGCCGGCTCCTGCCGTTCAGCAGCCAGTAGTAGTGACCTGCGCGGCGGGAGGGGACACGGTGAAACGCGTGTGGGCCGACAGATGGACAGACAGACAGAAGCACGCAGGGAGGAAGGCGCTGGAAGCGGGGATCGCCCCGCCTGCCCTCCCTCGCTCCTGCCCTCGGGTGCGCGGCGCAGAGGGGGGGAAAGTCAC